CCTGTTGAATGGATGGAAGAATTTGAACGAGCCGCAACAGCTAACAATTGGACAAATGGACGAAAACTTCGAATTGCACCTGGATATTTAACTAACCTAGCTGCCGATTGGTATCACGAGAACAAAGAAGATATCGAACAATGGCGTGACGATAATGATATGCAACATAGTTTTTATCACGCGATGATCAGTTTTTTTTCCACACCTGAAAAAAGACATCGATGGCAACAAGAATTATATGAACTGGTCCAACAAGACGACGAACGAGTTGATACCTATGCCGCCAAGTTTAAGCGACTCCTATCTCGAGTAGACCCTGAAGAAAGAATCCCTGGGGACTATGTAGTGAGCATGTTCCTGAAGGGCCTCAAGAGTAATACTGCCACCTTTGTCGCAGTTACCGCCCCGACAACATTAACGGAAGCAATTACAGCTGCCCGAAGAGTTGAAGCAGGAAACTACTACGGACAACAAAAATACAAGGCACCGGAAAGTTATACAGACCAAATACGTGAAGAAATGAAAGGTTTGACAAAGCAAGTACAAGAAATGTCTTTGAATTATGCCGCACTAGCCGCTCGAAACGTATCTAGGAGAAATACTCCTCCAGACCAGAGGAATACACCAAGGATTGTAAGATGTTACCGCTGTGGAAGGGAAGGACACTACTCCCGTGAATGCCCCGAAAGCGCATCACCAGTACCAGTAGCACCTACAGCCGAGAATCCTACACCAAACGTTCACTATTGCGAATGGCAATCAGAAGAAGAAGGTGACATGGACGCTTACGTTGCGGGAGGCACCATACCCGCCAGAAGAGGGAGACCCAAGCGCAAGCCGGAAAGTAGCTTGGGTGGAACGAATCGTGTACCCAAGATTAGGAAAGCTGCTAACCCGGTAGAACCGATGGAGATGAATACTCAACCTATAGAAGAGGAATTACCGGTGAAGAAAGTGAGAAGGAAAAGGGAGCCATCAGTAATTGATTCCCTAGACCCTTATGATGTAGCAGACGATATCTTAGCTTTACCTGCCACCGCGACAATAGGGCAAATGTTACAGTATCCGAACCAGCGAAGAAACTTAGCAAAGCTCTTACGACGACCCGCAGCTATGCCTGAAACTCATCACGTACGACCCGCTAGTACCTGCAGAACCACTGCCGCGAAATGTTACGCAAAAATCGAGGGAAAACCGATTATAGCTGTATTAGATTCAGGTGCCGCCGTAAGTATTATTACGAAAAAACTGTTAGACCGTCTGCAGATGCGAATCGAGGAGAAATCTACAACTACCGTCATTACGGCCAATGGGACTAGAGAAAGGACTCTAGGAAAGATTAGAAACGTCAACGTTACAGTTAAGAAGATCACCATTCCAACGACCTTCCAAGTTATCGAATCCAGAGACGAAACCCTTTTGTTGGGAACAGATTGGTTCCAGAAGGCAAATGCAAGGATTCATTTCGATGAACAGAAACTGTACCTTAAGTATCAAGGCCAATCCACAGAAATCCCGATTTCACACAATGATGCGACATTCTTGCAGACACCGGAAGAAACGGATATAAGTGACGAAGATCCCGACACATGCGATGAATTCGGGTACGAAAGTGAAGAATTAGAAGAAAAGGAAGGGTACTATACGGAAGAACGGTCGGATGGAGAACTGTATGAGAACCCATGGGAAAACATGCAGAGTCCGGCAATATATATGACGACCCTTGAGGAGATACCTACCCGTGATGAAGACCAGGACGAACGTCGAAACGACGAAGGGTCCCCAAAGCAGAACATTGACATCCGCCTAACGAAGGAAGAACAGGAAGAAGCCACGAAATTCTTTGAAAAAGAGAAGAATCTCTTTGCAAAGGATATCACGGAGTTAACTCAAACTAATGTCATTCACCATGCTATCGACACAGGGGATGCGAAACCGATTAAGCAAGCCCCCTATCGAATGGCGCCAGACGAACATGAGTACGTTCGAGAAGAATTAAAGAAGATGAAGGAACAAGGCCTCATACAAGAATCCATTAGTCCTTGGTCCTCCCCTATAGTTCTAGTACCAAAAAAGAACGGAGCGAAGCGACTATGCGTCGATTACAGGAAATTGAATGTAGTAACAAAGAAGGACGCATACCCGTTACCAAGAATCGACGACCTGCTAGAAACGTTGGGACAAGCTAGCTGGTTCTCTAATCTAGATCTCGCCAGTGGATATTGGCAAGTACGAGTACATGAAAATGACCGCGAAAAAACTGCGTTTGTAACAAAATTTGGCACCTACGAGTTTAAGGTTATGCCATTCGGGTTATGTAACGCACCGGCCACTTTCCAACGGCTTATGAACACGGTTTTACACGAATGTATAGGACGATTTGTCGCCGTATATCTAGATGACATTATTGTCTACTCACGTACCTACGAAGAACACCTGGAACATTTATCACGAGTTTTCGAAGAACTAAGGAAAGCCTCGCTGAAACTGAACTCTGAGAAGTGTAGTTTCTTCTTACCGAATGTGGGATTTCTAGGCCACATCGTAGGAAGGGATGGCATCCAACCGAATTTAGAGAACATAGAGAAAGTAAAGAACTTCCCGACCCCCCGAAATTTAAGACAGTTAAGAGGATTTATAGGACTTGCCTCGTATTATCGAAGGTTTATAAAGAATTTCTCTAGCATTGCGAAACCTCTACACCGACTATTAGAAAAGAACGTCCCGTACAAATGGGAAGAAGACCAACAAAGCGCTTTCGAAATTTTGAAAAGACACCTGATTTCGGCACCGATCCTCAGATACCCCGACTTTGACCGAACGTTCTACTTACATACGGATGCCTCGGGAACAGGATTGGGCGCTATATTGTCACAAATTGATGATAAGAAAAACGAATACGTAGTCGCGTACGCGAGCCGAGGGTTGACTAGACCTGAGCGAAACTACGCAGCAACAGAATTAGAATGCTTAGCGGTAATTTGGGGAGTTGAATATTTCCATCATTACCTCGGCATGAAACCCTTCATAGTGGTCACGGATCACTCTGCGCTGAAGTGGCTCGAAACATCTAAACTAAAGGGGCGGAGAGCACGATGGATTCTGCGACTCCAACCATATAACTATACGATTGTACACCGCGCTGGTAAGAAACATGCCAATGTGGACGCGTTATCTCGAGCAAAGAAAGGAAGTGAGAAATGTGATGACAACAACGTAATTAAAAGCATTATAGAGAAACAAGTAACGACCTCGCCGGGCCCTACTGCCCACTAATCGATTCAAAAAAAAAAAAAAAAGAGAGAGAGAAAAAAATCCGAGGAACAGAATCCAGTCCAGGTACCGGTGTCCTGGCGTGAGAAAAAAAAAAAAAAAAAAAAAACCATGGAATCCGATAACTATAGACAACTGCTTAACTACCTACGGAAACAACGACTACCCGCGAATGCCACACCACAACTGACACGACGACTACAGATGCAGAGTAATTTCTTTGTACAAAAGAACGGATTATTATACAAAAAGAACAAACATCAACCAGGTCGACTATTACGAGTACTACAACGACACGAATTAGAACCGATACTGTACTTAACGCACACGCATCCACTAGGAGGACATTTCGGTAAAGACATTATGTTTAAGAAGATACGAGACCTATACTATTGGCCGCAACTATACGAAGATATCAGGGCATACGTACGTACATGCGATCAGTGTCAGCGACGAGGGAAGAATCGAGCACGACGACCTTTACATCCGATACCTGTGGAGGCCCCATTCTATAAGATAGGCATCGACGTAGTTGGCCCTCTGCCTGTGACCCCGCGAGATAAACGATATATCATCGTCGCTACCGATTATATGACCAAATGGCCAGAAGCCAGGGCCGTAGAAAACGCGACCGCTCGAAGTATCGCTGATTTTATTTACGACGATATAGTGTGTCGTCATGGATGTCCCAGTTACCTATTATCTGATCAAGGCGCGAATTTCAGAAGCCGAATGCTTAATACGTTTCTGTCTAAATTTCAAGTTGCACACCTATACTCTACCGCGTATCACCCACAGACGAACGGACTAGTAGAGCGATTCAACAGAACACTATGCGAATCGCTGGCCAAAACTATAAATGATGTTAGAGATTGGGATCTGATGATACCATCCGTATTGTTTGCATACCGGACAGCTCATCAGGCTACGACTAGAGTGACGCCATTCTATTTGGTATACGGCAGGGAAGCACGTACACCAATAACCCCGGATGACGACATTCTTGATGGTACTATTTTAAAACGATTGTTTGATCTTATTAACGTTGTTCCCCAAGAGCGAAATAACGCCGTCGCGCAGATTGAGCAAGCGCAACAGCGAAACAAGACACGACACGACCAACGACTCAAATCTAACCAGAGTTTCGCGATAGGAGACAAAGTGTTACTTTATCGCGCCTATCTTATCCACTCCCGAAGCCACAAACTGGATAATAAGTGGGAGGGACCCTTTTTTGTCCACGAAGTACGACCAAAGGGGGTATACCGTCTCCGAACAATGGAAGGAAACGTGCTTCGACGACCCGTTAATCATCAGCTGTTGAAATTGTATCACGGACGAGAAACGATACTTACCGAAGAAGACGAAATTACCATGCAGGGATAGAAAAAAAAAATGATGAAAAAAAAAAAAAAAAAGAGAGATGTTTTCGATCGGTTCGATCAATTCGAACGGTTATTTTATTTAGTGATTTTATTTTATGTTATTTTTTTTTACAAATATAAATAGGATGGTTTTTGGTTCGCGCAATTCTTTGTTTTTTTCTCTTTCTTTGTTTTATTCCCCCCCGATTTGAAACTAATCTAGAAGGATGTCCGAAGAAGTCGCCAGGATAATAACGGATTTGCTGACAACGGAACCCGCGTATGTGAACGTTACACCACCACCCTATGACGCCTGGGAAACGTACGAGGAAAAAGTCGCTAGGACCTTGTCGTGCCTAAGGAGGGCAACTTACCTGGGTCAGCGGACTGAAACGTTAGTGATGGCGTATTATTTGGGTCAGCTGGTAGAGGGAACGGGACCGCGGAATTGTCTTACCTTACATTATCGCCTGGGAAGTTTGCGGATCTACTATCTATTCCAACGATGGGGAATAGAGCAGATCTATCGGACCGAATACGTTACCTTCAATAAGATTAAGCGGTTGAGCGCGCGAGAGTATCGAGTTCTAGTCGAGTAGAAGGGTTTGCTCGTGGAACTCGCAATTAAGAAAGGGAGGAACTGTTACGGGGAAACGACGATCGACGATATGGCTTAGAAATTGAGAATGACGATCGCGCATTATAGAGGTTGCCAA